GCCTCTTCGACTAAGCCTGACTTGTAGGTTACACGACATACCCGTTTGTCAAGCGACTGACTCGCCGTTTCGCCCGTTTCAGAATATAGAACTTAAGATTATAGTTAAGGCCGTGTAACCAAAATAGAGATACTAGTGAAACAATATTTGAAAACGCACGCTCAAAATAACTTTGAACTGAAAATTAAAGATGATCATTTCACTTTTGTACTTAATGCCTCTAATTAAAGCTATAATTAAATAGTAAACCGTTACCTACATAATCACCTGCATTCTAAATAGCCACTCTCTATTATCAAAGTGATTAACGAAATTCATTATTTAACTTCTGCTGACTGAGCAGTCTAGACACAAATTTTGAAAAGCCTTACAATCTATTTATCTCTAACGGTAACAATGGCCTTCTCTCTTATAGAGTTATAAGATCTACTAATTAGTCTCTTTCTATATTTTAATAAATTCATGATTTTACTATTAGATTTACAGTTGTTCTATATAGTGCCAATCCATTTGAAACATCTCATTTTCCTAAGATCAATATTCTTCTCATTAATTCAAAATTAAAGAATGTCATACCATCAAAATTAGAACAATTCTTTAAACCAAACCCAATTAAGATCAAAATTTTCGGTCAACGCCATATTATCACACAAAAATTGGGGAAATTAATGTACGCATTTGTACGAAATCTTGCTATGTCATGTAATATATATTTAGAATGCATTCATGCCATGTAGATAATTTAGGAATAACGTATTTATCGTTATGTGTTGTCGTGATGTAGCACCATACCTATAGGAATTGTGCATAGCATATGATATCATAAGGAAAAGATGTAGAGCTGTATGGCTTGGGCAAAATTGCATTTTGTGCCGGTGAGAGCAATGAGTAAACAATCAGGCTATCAGAATTGCAGGTAAAATAATACTGTAAAATTAGTATATCAAATAGAATCAAGATAATGAATTATAAGGAAAAGTTGTATAAGGGAGGCATTTTTTTAGTCTATAGGTAAAAAAAAAATCGGAATTCAAACAATTTTTATGCAAGACAGCAAATAAATTTTCTTTGCCATAGATAATTAATTAGCAGATATAAATAATTTAAATGAAAAACGTACTAAGAAAATATTTTGCAAAATAATTACTTCTAAAAAAGTCTAGTTTTCCTTTGTTACTGCTATTGCATTGTGTGATCTATATAAGCACGTATGTACACATACTTATGCATTGGGATAGCAGTTAATTTCAATCAAGCAAGACTGCAGCTATCAAAAAGATTATCATCATACATAAGACGCATATAAGTAGATAAAATTTTGATTAGGTTAAAGCATACGCACTTAATTAACTTGCTTATTATTAGTAGTGCTAATTATAAATGCTTCTCGAAGTTCTTATCAAAGTTTTTATTATATGCCTCGAAAAGGCTGTAACCTAGAACTGTGTAACCATAACCATTTACAATTTTGTTGTTGAATAAATTTTAAACGATGGTACACAAACACAATAAATTGTCCTTATATATACTCGCATTTCACAAATTATCTTCCATTTAGAATGCATAAGAAACCTATAAATAAATGCATTTCAAAGGAATTCTATAATAAATGAGTTGTGTATGACAATGCTGCAAAGTCGCTAAATAGTATACATCTATTGTTAAATAAAAAATTATCTTGTATTTTAAAAGAATAATAATGAAATTAATATTAACCTATTTGAAGAAAATGGTTAATAAAGAACAGACAGTAAACGTTTTTTTTTTTATTTTTGTAAACGAACATTAGTACTATCGTATACATTAATGTTAATAAATTAATTAAATGTCCATGGTCAGATGTATTAAATATATTTATTTATATTTATATTTTTATAAATCGTTGATAATGTAGTTAAAGAAACGATAAATATTATATTAAAAATTATTTTACATTTTAGCTGAAGATAACGCAATTTAGTATCTTAATCGGTTAATTCCAAATTCTCATTCCGTTGAACCAGAAACCCGGATTAATATGATGACAAAATCCAAATTTGTGACAAAACCCGGATTATAGAATCCTAAATTTGATTATCAAATTTAAATCGAATACAATGTATTATATATTATTAATTTCAAACAAAAAAAAAGAAAATGGTCAAGCACATTAATTCAATCCTTCAAGGTAAGCCAATGAATGCAGGTGGAAATATGGTTATTGGCTGATGAAATTAGGAACATATTAAAACGGATCTCTTTAATGGCAAAACCTAAGGAATCTATGGAATATTCTTTTGATCATTGCGATAATAATATCGTTGATCCAAATTTTCTAATCGTGCATAAAACACTTATTTATTAATACAGATATGATTGTATCTTTAACATTTCAAGTTAGTTTAAATAATAAGCAAACCATAAAATAATTGTCTTAAACAAGGAAAATAATGGTACTATGTCTTTCATTATTTCATGAAAGAGTCAATTTTTAAGATCGGAGAATATCAACAAAATCCGTAATGTTAAAATTTATGTGAGGTAATTATTTTTAGCCAACTTTTCAATAAAGCCAAATTAACTAAGAACGATTTTACGGAATTTTCCGAGTGCCTATCACTATATAAAGAACATTCGATAATAAAAGGCATGTTACATCTCAAATACTTGGAAAATCTCTGTTCACTTTTATTGTTTAATATCCTAAATAAGTAAGACTAACGTATGTAAGTACAAACGTTATTTATTATGTTACTTGTTATTCTCGAGTGTGCATACAAAAAAAAAAAGATCTTGAAAATTTTTTAAAACACTCGGAAATTCAATTCCGTGACGAAATACTTTTAAATACATCGTAGTTTTCGAAAGTTAGAGAGACAATTCACTTCTAAATTCTAGCTATTCTAATTGTTACTGATTTAATATATTCTTTTTTTTTTGCAAATTAGAAAATCAAACACAATGAAAAAGCAATACAGTAAAGGTCATTTGATTTTAAAAGTCTACCGTGGAATAAAAAAAATTATCAAAAAAAAGAAGCCTACTTGCCAAACTCCAGGATGTTCTAATCTTTGTACTGGACGAAAGGATGTTTATTGCCCTGGATGCATTAAAAACACACCTACTGTCCATGTATCTACTGTACCCGTTAATCAAACACCACAATTACCTTCTGTGACTGTTAATCAGACACCACCACCACAAGTGATCGTTAATCAAACACCACAATTACCTTCTGTTACTGTTAATAAAACACCATCACCTCCTCTTGTGACTGTTAATCAACCACCGCAATTGCCTTCTGTTTTTGTTAATAAAACACCATCTCCTCCTCCTGTGTCTGTTAATCAGACTATTCTTCCTCCACCTAGTAAACCAACCTCAAGTCCGGTGATCAATAAGACTAAAATGATATTATTAAAATCAAATGATATAGAATATCTTGATATTCAACAATCCTTCCGTTTAGGACTTCCAAGGAATACTATTTTAGGAATATTTAAATTAAACATTCCAACTAATCTTGTGAGAGCTCACGATCAATACAAAGCAGTCAACGCTAATATGCCAAATCTTAGAGCATTTCATGGAACAAAATCTATATGTAGTCCTAAACGTTTCATTACCAATCCAAAAGCTGAATTTTGTAAATCTGCTTGTGGCGCATGTGGGATCGCACAACATGGAAACAAGGTACAATATTCCGGTGATAAACGTAAGTAATTCAATAAATATATATATATATTCGTATGTTAGTTCAATATTAATTGACTCTATTTTATATATCAGTATTGTGGTTTGCAAACAATTCATCTGTTTCACTTTACTATTGCAATAATGGCTATGCTCGCAACAATAAACCATATACTGCCACGGAAAATAGCATGTTTGTTGTCGATATCATTACTAACCAGCCTGGTCCAGTTTATACTACTCCTAGTGAGGCGGTACGCATTTTACAATTTTTTTTTCTGTTTTTTACTACGAATATCAATTTTTTCATTTTAACAAACTTTATATCTTTTAATCAGTCTGTGATTCCAAAATATCTTATCATCTTTCAATAACGTAAATGAAAAATACATGTTAAATGTTAAACACGGACAATCTGATAGGATTTGTATTTTTTTTTTTAAAGGGCTGGTCCCTATTAAGTTTTTTTTAATTTGGTTATTAATTAAATGGTCATTTAGTTTAACTTATATATTTTTGACGTTTGTGATATTTGGGTTTTTCCTTCTTTCCTAATTTCTTTTTTTTTCTAATTTCATTTATTATTATTATTATTATTATTATTATTATTATTATTATTATTATTATTATTATCATATTTATGTAAATGATAACTTTATTTTCAATCTTGTATATTTTTTTTTTTGATCTGTGAATTTAATGGTACTATTTTAAATATAAACAATCATGATTTGTAAATCATAAAAATTTTCGAGTGCATATATGAACTTTTTGATTATCTTTATTAAAAAAAAAAATAGTATGTATTTATCGAATTATTTATTGACTTTGGCACTCATAATTGTGTCTATTAGACCAATAGCCAGCAAGTCACATAACGAGAGACATTGAATAGAATTAGACACGTAAATTCAGTAAATTCAATGCTAACCAGTAATTTACTTTTTTGTTACATAACACAGTATCGCGTTATGTAAATCTATTATTATATGGTCAAGATGAATACGTAGTACGCATGCGTCTAAAGTAGCACCTGGCTAAAATTAAGCCCCTGAAATTAGATCTTCACGCATGCATTAGGTTATAATTTTAGCCAGGGTGCTACGTTAGATAAATCGCTACTTCAGATGCGACAAATACATGGAAAAATGGGTAACTCTAGAGCTCATCAGAAGCATGACCATTGTGGTTTGGTCAATATCTGAGATATTATGTATGATAAGAGATAAATTATCTTTGATTAGTACTCCTACCTCACGCATAAGTGTCATAACAAACTTACCCAAGCAACATTCTTTAATGAACTATTAAAGAAGTTCAATGACACATCTTTCTCAATGACCTCTAATCGACAAGCTCATGTTTAATAACCAAGAATTCAAAAGCTTCGACCTTAGTGGCATCTTAATTCTTTACTCTCGGATTTATGGCGTAGTTTGATCTTAATTTTCTAAATGTTATTTTTAGCAACGTATCAATTATTTTTTTTTTAAAAAAAAAACGTTGTTGCACTTGCTAATCAAATAATTACAATGTGGTTATACAAATTGGCTTGTCACTCCACAAAAAATTTTCTAGTCACGTGACTCAGCCACTTTCATACTACTGTACTGTTTATTGTCCGCAGTAAATTCAGATCTTAGTAAAAAAAATTTCATATATGACCCTAATTAATGTTAGTTTGATAAACGCCCTACCACTACGTAATTGAAAACTACGATAATCAATTATTTCCGTAAAAATAGTTGATAGCTGCAGAACCGACTCGAAAAGGATAATGATAACGATAAGTGTGCCGAATTTAGTTACTGACAGTCATAACAGAAAGCTAATTAATAGACAACCTCATTTTTAGGGACAAAAAAATTTCAAAACAAACGTTCGTTTTGTCAAAAATCGTCTATTCCTCAAAAATTGGCATTTACCCATCAATGTCATCAATACTCATCAACACATTATTAATGAGTTTTAAAGAATTTTTCCCAAAAGGTTAGGTAAGATTGGGAAGAATAGTCCATATAAAGAAAATTGCCTTCCCGATACTTTTAATTAATTCTTAAACTAGCTGTTTTCTATATTTTTTTTGTATTTTCCTCAAAATTTCTTTATTTGATTGGTCAGTCTTCACGTACTAAAGGGGATTGCTATGAACACAGCAGCACATGATATAATTCCCCTAATTCTGCCATATTTTAAAAATTGTGAAGACTATGGTCTCTATCTATAACAATATTATCTTGTCTGAGGCCCATGCACGTCATCAGTTGTTTACGGATTTACGTACGTATGGTGCAACGGCCCACCTATCTGAAGTTGTTTATTGATGCTAGATTTTCGAGGTAATGTAATCCTATAAAAGATGATATACAGTTGTGATAGAAATCGAAAATCAAATTAATCGATTAGTTGTAAAGTTGACAACTAATCAATTTGAATTTTACAAACCCAACTTGGTCGATTAATCGACTAATCGCCTAACCGATTAACAAACTGGTCAAGTAATCGACTAATGATTAACAAACTGGTCAAGTAATCGACTAATCGCCTAACCGATTGACAAACTGGTCAATTAATCGATTAGTCGATTTATCAATAAATCGATTAGTAAGAATATCAACCTCGTTGTTTCAGTTGCTAATTTACGTGTATTTTACTGAGTTTCATTTATTATTTTATTCAGATAATCGATTGGCGATTAGTTGAATAAAGCTAATTGATTGTTATAGGCAAACCCGACTCTAGGACCTTGGAAAACTGTCACAAACTGACCCACGAACGTCACACGAAAAGCCGTCGTACGACGATGCCTGTGACTCAGAGACCCTGCAGCAAACCAGTTAGGTGACAGTGCCGATCCCATATAAAAAGCCACCTGCCCGATTTAGTTTGACATCTGTCAAAGTAATAGTAATATTACCTTGTCAGGTAAAGTATGTGGCCGTGTACGTGCTGGTTTTGATTGTCATCACTGGAGGAATGAAACTCAATGAAAAATACTATTAGAACGAAGGCTGGTCTGTAAAAAAGAAAAAAAAATGTTAGTTAAAAAATGGAAAAACGGCTTATGTGAATGAGAAAAGTGATATTAGAAGTGTTCGAGATTCCCCTTCTTATTTCCTGTAATTTCTTATAAATACAGGTTTGTTTTTCTCTTGCAATATACAAGTCCCGCCCTTAGAAGTAAAGTTCTTAAAAATCGGTTCCACCTGAATCCCTCTCGTAACACTCCTTGACTATTGCTTTAGAACTGTGCCAAATCGTTCCGCCTATGAACACGTTGAGAAACGTTACGCGGTATCCTTCTTATTGTAGTAACAATCCGTCGCTTCTTCTGGGATTTGCTTTAGTGTTGTGGTGGCTGTATAACCCGTAACACTATCAGATAATCGATTGAAAATTTTTCGTCGATTTGTATCACTACTTACTATACAGTACACGTTTATATAATTACAAGTATTGGAATTATTTAGAGCACCTTGTAATGAGTGCACATTATAACTTCCCATTAATATGCCTTATTGCTTTTTTAGGTGGTCATAGATTGTTTGAGGTTTAACGATATTCCATACCCCAAAATTGGATCGACTGTCTAAATTGTTTACATGTACGAAGCAATTGTTAAATGGGCAGTAAGTACTTATTTATTTGGAAACAATTTTTTCACAAATTTAAAACAGGTGATGAAAGTCTGGATAGTTTAATCCGGATTAAATATATCCGGACCATAATTACCGCCTGTTTGTTAACAAACTACTTTAATTCTTACTATCTATAGACAACTTCGAACGGCGAGTCAGTCGCTCCTCAATCGGATACGTCGTGTAACCTACGAATCGGCTTAGTCGAAAGAGGTGGTTATATTTGGCGAGTAGGGTTAAGTTCGTAGGTATGTCTTCTTTCTTCTTATTTGTCTTGAACCTTTCAATGCTGATATGGCTTACTAACACACTGATTGATCAAATTCACAACTGGGACCTTCCACTTGGACCTCAAACCGGAATATAATAGCCACAACTATCTAAGATACGTTGGGAGAATTGGAAACAACCACAGTAGTCCTCAGTACGTCGAGAATCAACCGGACAGGGTAACGGTATACTTTATGTTATCACGTGAGCAAGACTACAAGAGCGACGATCGTACTACGAATTTATTTTAATCACGAACTATTCACCCTCTTTTCTCTAGGGCGAAATGCCTTTATTATATACTTTCATTTACTTAGTACGTATTATACATCTTATCCGTGATACATTACTTATGTTTATTATTCTACTTATACCGATTATAATGTTTATACTGATTATACTAATTATACCCTTTATCTCACTGATTCCTCTTATAACGCTAATATCCCTTAAAGACCCGATACAACGTTTACAACTTATACAACGTGGCACTTCACCTCTAATAACGGTATTATCTGATGATGACGATCAGGCATACGCCCCTATTTTGATTTGTAACAAGCAATTGTAAAGTATAAAGATGATCTAAAAAAAACAATGACTGTTATATGCAAGAACATCGTAGAAGAAGAAGATTTTGACGACGAAAAACATTTAGAATTGTTAGAATATAGTTGATCTATAAGATTTTGTAAATAAATTCTTTTTTTTTTTATACGTATGAAAATTATAACACGCATATATTAATTATATTGCAGTTTAACATGTTTTATAAGGATATATAAGCCTCTTATATGTCCTGACTTCAAAGAATTGTATAAGAAGTTATATTGTCAATCGCCTGCTAAATGATGCATTCTTGGACTTGAGATGCATCCAAGTAATTATTTATGTGTTAATAATGCCTGAAGAAACTATTTAAACTTTAAAAAAATTCACTAACGGGACCATATTATTTTTTAATAGCGGTGAAATTGACAATAATGATCGAAAAGAGCAACTTACGAACAGTGAGTGAGTCGTTAGTGTCAAATGGAAACACGACATCACATATTATATGAAAGTAAATAATATGAATTCCGGGTACGTATTGGTGAGGTTCTAAGTAACGTCTTTACGAAAGATATAAAGAAAGAAATAAATGATAGAAGTAAATTGTTTGACGGTGAGTTGTTTTATAATATATATTTTAATTTTTGTCAATAATATAATTAATCATAAATTGTATTAGCTATGCAACTTAGCTTGCATAAAATAAGATGCGTTCGTATAAAGAGAAACGTAGATCCAGAAAAAATTGACCTGGTAGAGACGTTGTGGGACCCAGATGAACCCTGACCGTTTGGGTTCATGTCTAAATTAGGAATGGATCGATCGCATTCGTCACATGCGACCATCAGTCTCATATGACGGATATGACGGATAGCAGCGATCGGTCAGAAGGGTCTTTTAAGAAATATCAGTCGTATGCATCGAATAATGTAAATAGAATTCTACAAATATAAATAAAGGCCAAAAGGCCCTTCGAGAAGAACAACTTCCCCTTTGCAACTGATACATAATACATTTTTCTCATAAATCGCTTGTAAAGTAATAAACCCGATAATTTTATTAGAAGCATTCGATTATAACATAATCTGTCCCTAACTCGTAATTACACAAAAGTACGCCAGTACACGTGACCGAAACCTTCTATGCTGGTATAACCCGACCAAAACCTTGTTAACGACTCGCCAAATCTAACACGTCTCTTCCGACCTAATTTAATAATTTCCTATGATCGGTTTTCGGGTTTTCACTCTCACACACTCATATAGAAACCTTATTAGACTCAAATAGACTAAAAAACTATCCGAAAAATATAATCATAACCTTTAACTCTACAAAATGTAGTAATTATTACAAAAGTTTAATAAAGTAACTACGCTGATGACAAATGGTTTACTATATGGTTACACCAAAAAGCATAATGTTCGTAACAATGTCCAGAAAATAGTTGAAAATATGTTCAATGTCAAGACTGTTTATAGACACAACGATAAAAAATTTTAAAACCATTCTCATCAACACAAAACTATTATTCTCATTAACATAAAACTAATTCATGGCATCAAAAATGTTTATGGGAGATATGCCCGAACTAATGGAACAAATTCTTAAAAACTTAAAAGATGATACTTATTCCTTATACTCGTGCGCACTTGTGAGCCGACATTGGTGCAAAATATCAATCCCTATTATTTGGCAAGATCCATTTGAATATGTTAAACACAAAAAATTTATTCCTAATACATCATATATTCCTAAATATTTTTCATCTCTTGATAAGAATGAGAAAATTATTTTAAAAAATCATGGAATAAATGTAGAATTTTCTGAAACTCTATTTGATTATGCAAGATTTCTTAAGGTTCTCGATTTATTTTATTTAAGATGTAACGTTAAAACATGGATCGAAT